GTGTCAAAATGGTATGAACCATAAGCTCAGTAAAGTATAGTTCTTCGGTTCGTCTAGGGTTTTCAGATAGATTACGGTTAATAACGGTGGTGAGCTGCATATCACATTGCACATCTCATCACGGTTAAACTTGATTGTTCACGCAAAAGGAAACAGAACGCCATAGATATGAGCTTTGGGTGTGCTTTTGGACGTTGGCTAACCGATATCTTAGACGCGACAGCAAACTTCACTCATAATCCACCCATTAACGCTTCGGTGCGTCGGAATCATGGTGATTATTTACAAGTGTACGCGCATATTAGATTGAGAAAATAGCAGTTATTTTATGGTTGCACATTGTCCAAATTTTTATGATAATGATGACAACTATAATGTTTATTCCCAAATTGTGAATACGTACCGCCAGGAATGATCCTAACGTTAAAGTCAGAATAAAATTGGGAACTGTGTTTACACGGGTTTTTTGGGAAACCGGACAGCGACATGGGCGGTGGGCACCATCCCATGTAGGCGTGGCCACCACTGCACCGACACAGGCAGGGAGGCACTGTTACTATGTGCTTTTTGGAGAGAACATCGAACAAGATCAGATCGTTAGCATTTGAAGGCGACGGGCCAGAAACAACGCGAAGAGGGCAAAACTTGCAGTTAATGGAATAAGTGGGAGGTGGAGTACAGTAGAGAACAAGAAAGGTATACTTGCGGATGTGCTATCAAACCCGGTATGACAGTGCCCTGGCGTCATTGGCCTGATATGCTTCGGATTTTCGACTGTCCCGCAATGGACGTCACATTCAAGGTCATTTGGCCGGGATGCGCAATTCTTTGAGTGATGGGATATTTTCAGGCCTGTCAAGGAAATGATGGTGGAACAAAGTCAATATAATATCGCAGGATTTTGCCTTATTTATACATTGACAGCCTGTTTGGCTCATACATTTTCATCAACATATCTGTTGCTGGCACTTCAACAAACCTTTTTGGAATTAGTCCAAGTACTAAATAAATTTCTGTTGGCTGGCGGCTCGAAGTATGGTTGGTCACTTTTCTTTTCAACTTTAACGATTGCCATCGACGGCATGACGTTAGCTTTCATCACGTTGCTTCGCTGCCGTAGAACCATGAGGCATTTGAAAGGTTGGTTTTAAATTAGGACGTGGAGGGGTTTAAGTGCTGAGTTAATACAGTCATTCCGAGTTGCTTGCAACTCCGGACACTCATTCAGGTAATCTAGAGGGAAACTAACAAAAAGATCGCCACTGGTACCGGTTGGCAGTCAAACTTTGCAGCGTCCTTAAACAGGAGCAGTGGGAATCGAGGCTCCCATCCCGAAAGGCGAGTAGCACCGACAGAACCCAAACGCTTCGTAATCTCCTTCATACTACACTGCCAGGTCAATGGTTATCCACATCGCTGCTGCCACCACTCTAAACTTGGCATGGAAAACAGCACTCTTTTCGGAAAACTTTGGTTCAGTATAGGCAAAACATGGCCTAACAATAACAGCTTCTGGTTCGCAATACAGTCGTCAATAAAACTCTCTGTTGCACAATCGAAAACTCATCAGTCGCCCCGTTGTGGATTCGCCCACATTAACTCACACCAAATTTTGTTCTGAGACAGCTTTTGTTGAACATCAGGAAGTGCCTTGATTCCGTAGCCCGAATAGGCAGTCTCAGCCGCACAAAAAGTAGCCCGTATTGTAGTCTGCCTGATATGTACGTTACTTGAGATTCAGGGATTCACCACTTTGATGCCATAGATGTCTCAAATTAGCGAACGCGACCCGAACCGTGCAGATTCGTGCACTGGCCTCGTGTATTACGCTACCATCAGAACTAATTCAACTTCCGTGATATGCAAAAGAACGCCACCACTTCTGGTCCGTCTACCTGGATTGTAAGTGGCGTGCTCAGTGACTGCATATCCATGAGTATTATCTTGCACTTTGTGACTTTAAAGTGCATTCTTAGGGACAGGATGGCTTTGGTTATTTCATTTAAGGACACCTGTGTCTTCGCCTCTTCGAACGCCAAGACGAGGTCGCCCGCATAGTAACAAGGTTTTCATCAGATTGCACCTAAACCCTGGGGTTTTTGAGACCTCCCGGCGTTCGTATCATTATTTTATTGCTTACGAAAGTACATAAGAATGGAGATAGTAGACATCCTTGTTGGAGACCGATTTGTGTATCGAAGATTTTGGGGAGCTCTCCGTACACTCATACATCCGGAAGTCCAAGAATGCAAAGATTTTATTATGTTCACGAAATTCCGGGACATTCTTCTGTGAACAAGCGTATCATGCAGAACAGACTGGTCTACCAGTTCGAATACACCTTGGAAATCCGGTAGTGCTAGAACGGTGGGTCACTTATATCTATGGGGTTGTTCCAGCACCCGAAAGTTGATAGGCAGCCGTAAACCTCCGGTGTCGTAGGTGGTCCCATATTCACCGCCTAGGGCTCTACGCCATCTATGGGTTCCAGATGAGTGCTTACTAGTGGCCACAATAATCGTTGCTCGAAGTTTACGGCCCATCCGTCAAGAAGTGCGTGGGCGGAATCAACAAATATGTTCCAAAACGACCGGCAGTCCGTTATTGATCCGCGCCATCGGTAGCTAGTGGCAAAGTGATCATTTTGAGTTTGTGGCCAGTATGCCGTTGAGAACACCACGTGGCCAGACGACCTTGGCTATTTCGGAAGTACTGCATGCAAACAATCTGCGATCATCCTACAGTCAGTTCGGACGTAGGCTGACACGGCAAGCAGACATCGATCAACTTCCCGTTTGTGAAACTCCTTTACAGACATTGCTAGACGAACCGCACAGAGGTGATTATCAGATATCCAGTCGAACAAGGATATTTCCTCCCGGTAACATAGGGATATACCAGCCTCTACAACTCCTGTTGCAGCGGTCTCTGGATCACCGGAGGTGCACAGCCGAAAGCAAGTGGAGACTGATGGGGTGGTTTGCCCAGTCACTGTGCTTGCACCTTGAATTCTTGTTCCTGAGGTACAGCACACCACTGCCAAGCGATTCCAGTATGAGAGTAAGAGCAGCTTGTGATCCTTCTTGATTCAGACAGACTGAGTGTCCGGGCTTGAAGATCGATTTGGAGATACCTGAGGATGTCGCCACCAGGTGACGAGCAGATACTGCATGCAAAAGTGATGCAAGGTTAACGGAGTCATCAGTTGTAAGTGTTGGGTATGAAAGAAGGGTTATTATTGAAATGAGGAAAGGAGGGAGAAAAAGCTCGTGAAAGAAAACGGAGAAAAAGAGGGGTCAGCAGTAGTCTGGTTCCGCTTATGCGCCCTGAATGTGTATTGTTGGGTATGAAAGAAGGGTTATTATTGAAATGAGGAAAGGAGGGAGAAAAAGCTCGTGAAAGAAAACGGAGAAAAAGAGGGGTCAGCAGTAGTCTGGTTCCGCTTATGCTGAATGAATGTGTATAGCAAGTAAGGTAACCCGGCTGATGGCACCGTGCGACAACTGGTGTGGCACGAGTTCATTTGTATATGTGCAGTTCATTGTTGTACGTAGGCCGAGATAACTAGGGTCGATACCTAGACACGAAGACGGTTAGGGTCCTCAGTCAAATCCTTTGGCTCGAAAGCCTAACCGTAGGACAGCAGTGTTTCGCTGGCAATTCAAATGTAATAACATTTCTACGGAACAAGCGACCATGTGTTCCAACTCTCACCCCGGAGCACCAGGATACTAGTCATTGACCAAACCGGTGTATGTGAATGTCGCGGGGCGACCCCACAGGATAGGTCAATGGGTGGCTAAAGTGCGCAAACAGTCACACCATAGTAAGGTGTGGTCTCATTTCGCTTGAGACTTGCCAAATATACCCGACACGATCTCTTACACGGCACTTCGGTTAGCAACTCTTTTTCTGGTGACTGCTCTATCACGTAACTACTGACAGACTGTTCGTGAGCAGTCAAACTGATCTTCACAACTTTCTGCGATCCCACTGGAGGTTCAGATGGGTATCAGGTCTTTGAAGTTGGCACTCGAAGGCGCCTGACGAAGGTAGGATTACTCTGAAGGATTACTCTCTGAAGCACTTATAAGATTCACTACAGGACCAAACCAATGACTTTTGTCGTTTTTGACTCTGTTTTCAACGAGAAAGAAAGGCCAGTCAGAAGTTCAGGTTGATATAACAGATTTATGGTATGTCGGCACAGAATGCAGGATCGTAGGGAACTCGCGAACACAGATATCACATAAAGCGGGTCAAAATGAGTAAGCTAATGATGAGATATCGGGGGATAAATAGGTATACGCCATCAATTGGAATGCATCACTGCGTTCATAGGGACCCCCATCATGACAAGGGTCCTTTGATTTACCAGACATACCGGCATACTCAGGTCCCATTGTAATGGAAAGTATAAAATGTACCGTTTTTGCGTTTCAGCGTACAGTCTGCGGCTTCATTTGCGGACAAAACTGACAGACTAGATTTGATGTACTTGTCTGTTAGCTGGGCGGACCGATCTGGTAGCAATGAGTTAAATTTTGTCGGATAATTACTGCAAGCAAAGTTGTTGTAACAACTAGTTGGCACAAGAGCACAAACAGCCGCGTGGTCCGCGTGACGCAATCAGTCAAGTTTAGATCCCAGGAAATAAGAATATGTGAGAAATGAAGTAAACGAGCCATTTGCTCAACCTTATAGGTGACAAGGGTTAGTTCAAAGCCAGTGGCAGAAAGTAGACCCGGGTGATAAATCTGCCCTGCAACCACGGTAAGTTAGCATCTGTGGTGTAGAATTGTCTTCATTGTTTCAAGCCAGGCTATCTCGGGTCTAATTCACAATGAAAGTGTGTGCACAGGTTGTAAACTACAAGGGGTTTGTGGAAAGCATGTCAGCCATAATTAACAGATTCCTAACAGTAATTTGTATTTGACTTTCAGTCGGCTAAATTAGAAGAGGATGCGGCTGTCATAAACACCTTTATTAAATTGCAAGGACTGGGTCACATATGGACCCACACAAATATGAGGCAGTAATGGGGGAAGAAGAGTCCGGACCGTTGTCTTGCTAGTTAGCTACTTAGCGATTGTGAAAATTTAGTGAACGTTGGGTGGGGGTGGGAGTGTAAATGGTCCAAATGACCTAAGAAGGATATGCTTGGAATCAACTTCTGTACAAATTGTTTGGCAAATCGAGCATCCTATGAGCAGTGTAAAAATGGAATGAATTTGAGGTAAAAAAATTTGCGTATCTATATATATAGTTGGTCAGGTCCATATTGTGTACATGAGCAGTTCATTCGAAATTATGCTCCTGTGGAGGGCGCCCGGTTGGTCAGTGAAACGGTTTACTGATATAGTGAGTGTTGTTGGTCTAAGTGAAGAACACCGAGTTTTGTGTTAATTATGATAGTCTGCGGTGGAATTCTGTGAACTTTTGCCAGTGATGAAGGTACACATATGAATTCTATCGGTCGGTAACGGAGTGGATGTAGCATGCCGCGTTTAAAGGAGATTTCTTTTCGTTGGATGCAGTTCGTCAACGCCATCCATTCTTGGTGTACCTTGAGAGCGACCATTGTTTCCTAGAAGAAGCTAAAGCAGTAAAGTGATGCATAATCAGTCATGAACCTGTTAGGGTTTGGCGATAATGCGCAAAAGCAAAAGAAAACGTTGTTATTCGTAAATTACAGCAAAGCCTTTTGGACAATATTACCGATTGCATGGTTTTCCAACTAGAACTTGAAGTAAAATAGATCTGCTCTTAACAATCGGCACGCTTGCATCTATTTCCTCCGTATTCTTCCATTTTTTCAGAATCGACCAATTATAGAATCAAACGAACAACCGAGTCTATTGATTTACTGCAATTTTAGGCGATCCAGACTTTCACACGAACACATCTCTTATTTCTGTTTATTTTAACCCGCGATCAGATAACTTCAAGCGATCTGCTAGGTTGCCGCTGTACCGATTTGAAATCTATCAAAATATGTTGCTTGTGAACGAAATATTTGCGCATACTTATCAGTACATCTGCGTCAGCAGTTCAGTTACCACAATGACGGGAAAGCCGTTTTCAAATTTCTCATAAATTGAATGACTCTTTAAGCGAAGCCACTCTTTGACACACAGTGGTTCACTGGTTGCCACTGGCGGCTGCCAAGGTAAAACTAAACGAAAAAAATACACAATCTTTGCTGCAGTGCTGGAAACCGATTAATTTTTGACAGGGATTGGACCGTTCGCCTAGCTTGGTAAATGGGTTGCAAACATTTAGTCGACAACTAAGGAGACATCTTCAATGTGGGGTTGGGAGCTCGTACTTCTTGCTGCGTATTCACTTAAGGCTTCACGACTCAAGCAAAACTAGTCGAACAAGTTAGCTTTCAGTTATCTATACAGGTTAAACACATTCCTTTTTGTTTCATATTAAATGTGATGCAAACTATTGTGAAGTGGATATGGTATACGGCGGTTATTGAGTGTTGATTTCCACTTCGGATGTTGATGCGTCAAACGACTAGACATGGTATAGAACAACGTGGGAAAATATTGCAGTTGAATTTCTCATCATTCAACTATTAAAACTACGTTACAGAGGCACTGCAGAACAATGACTGGATGAAGTGACCCTTGGGACGTCGATGGTTATTGTTGTTCGGAAAACATGGAACAAAATCGAACCGTTTAAGAAGGCTTCAGCGTGTGCACTTGGACTTATTCCCGGTGTAAATCACTTTCCTACTGACCTTATTCTGCTTGATCTGAGTAACACATATGTGCGTCAATATGTAGCCGTTGTGGACATAGTAAACGCCGCCTACCATCTATCTCTGTGCCACATCTGAACAGGTTTGTGCTCGATTAAAACCAGTGTTTTTGACTTAAGACATTTTCAGTATCACGTGGCAATCTGATTTTTATTTCGGAATGCCCGTACCGTATTTAGTACCAGTGAGATCGAATAGAGTTTGTGCTGGATGACATTTGTTGGGGTTGATTGTTGGTGGAAGAAGCACAAATTAACAGCAAGTTTTCCATAATAGAGTTTCAGTCACTGCTGGGAATTATTGGTCACAAGCGAATTAATCGGAATTGGCCGTTGGTTAAAATATTGGTAGCAAAGGTGCTTGTACTGGCATTTGATGAAGTGACTGTTAATTTGTTTACAGAGCTTAGCAATCGGCTTGAAAGAAGTAGCTGAACATAGTAGTCCCCAGGGAGAAGACTCACTTCGACAGTTGGACCGCCACCGTATTGTAAACGTCGAAGTTCTGCCGCATAGCGATCCTTGTCGTACCCATTGTCGCCATCTGAAAAGTGATCTGAATAAGGACTCAAATGATGGAGTTTGGAACTTCGAATAATATGAACCAAACGTTTTATCGGATTTTAAATTTACCGTAATGTGTAACATATCCACTGTTTTGTGCTACGGTTGATCAACAGAAGTGATGCAGGATAAGGAAATTTATGAGGTCCTGGATACGTAAATAGTGGCTGATAGTGATGCTTGGTTTTTATTGTCCTGCGCACTTCTTCATACATGCACCACCCATGCTTTCAGCACTGTCTGCCACAAAATGATAGTGTACATATAGAAATGATGCTGATGCATTCATTTTTTGGATAGGATTTGGTTGTTTCATAATGGAATAACATATGTCGAAGTCCATTGGTTGACTTTTGGGCTCCCACAGACTGGTGTTTTCAAGAGTGGAATAATCAGAATTATAAAAAAAACAAGACAGCACCTCACTAACTGCCGTTTGTAAGGAAGTTACACAGACGTAAGTTGATAGTCTTCTATGGTCCAACAATCCTAGACTTTCCCCACAAAGCTCAATCTTCTCAACTTGATTTGCACCGTATTCGCTTTGGTTTTATCGTACTGAGAATTCATTTGGATCATCAAAGCAGCAAAGTTTGGTAGTATTGTCAAAAAGGTAGACAGTCGTTTTCGTGGATCACTCGTTATGGCACTGTGACGTTAGCATATAGCCCGAACGTGGACGTGAAGTGTGGGACAACAACATGCCGTAGTGAGTGAAAATGAATAGGTGTTTCTAATACACCCTGGACGGACTCACAATTAGCGTTTCACTGTGTGCAAAACTCTGATGTTTTTTCGTTTGAAACCTTGAAAATGCACCTAATGAGAATTTGCCACAGATCTAGGACACAACAGATTTATTGCCTCTGGTTTACTAAGGTGATCTATAATTCAAGCTGTATTTAAAACAAAAACTGCGGACTGAGCAGAGCATGAAGATACACTTATGTCGTCGCAAATGAAAGTATGCCCATCATCGACAAAGGTGCGATTAGTAACATTTTACAGACTGACCAATACATGCACCCGGTGGGTAGTTTCAGTTCTGAGAAATCACTAAGCAGAGGTCATTTGTCGTAGTATTTTGGTGTATCCAAGCTTAAGCACTTACACCAAAACTCTCAAAGTGAAGTTGGAATGATGGTGGAGAACAGGGTATTAATTTTCAGATCAGAGAACTACATTTAGGTTTGTAATGTCCTACTTATAAGGTTGCTGAAAATCTGTCGACAGCCCATGACTGATTTCGCCCTTTTTGAGGCTCATCAGGTAGGCGCAGTCCCCGGGTTTCCGTCAAACTTGTGTTCTACTTGGAACATGAGACGGCCTGGTGCAGTACATTCAGTTGTCTGAAAACATCACAAACTGGACATTCAACTGGGTTCCAGGTGAGTCTCTTGAAGAACCAAATTAGTTTGCAAACGAGTGTATATTCGCTATATTTCGGTTTTTTTTACAAGATCAAGACCAGCTGGTTGCCTGGATGTCGTGATCACCACTTTCTTGGAGATGAAACCAACCCTGTCTCACTAGTCCGACGATGAAAATATGCATTGGTCTTAGTTAGAACATATATAATGAAGATGAAGAGTAAAGTTTTAACCGTTTGTTTGTAAAAAAATTGAGTGTTATCAGCACAGGATGTTCACTTTCCTGAGTGGCCTGAAGTTAACCTCATAACGGTTCAAAGACGCACAACTTAGGAGTTAAAATAATGCGGGTCTACACAGGGTTGTCAATAGGATTGCAAGGGAGTAAAATCAAGAGCCGAAACCAAAGTTTAATGGCTGTTTGCGGAAACTAACAATAACTGCTCATATAAACCGTCAATTTATGATGAAGTATGAGGAAGCTCTCCTCTCAACAGACGTGAGCATACGCTAGACAGTACTGTGTCATTCCGGTTTCCGCAGGTAAATCCAGAAACAAATATCGGCAATACGACGAGATGGAACGGTAAGGGGCATATTAGAAAAAAACGTTGAAGATATAGGTTAGTGAGAAAGCATGATATTTTCACGACCCATTACTTCAATGAGGTTATGCTTAGCGGATTCACCCCAGGTTTTGTGGCAAAACGCTGAAGGTCCATGAGGCAACTGAGTGTTATTATTTAATACTAAATTATCACTTTCGGTGATTAAGACGAGGACGGTCTGAAATCGCTTAGCGGTGATTTTTAGTTGTGGCTTTACTAAACTGAAAGACGGATACCGCCTCCCCCGTTTTTCCGTACTCTCTTAACTGAGAAAACCAATAGTGATGATTTAGCTGGTAGATTTCGCACTGATTATAGAAAACTCTAAACGAGCAAGTACTGTGACATCTTGAACAAAGTATCACCGATGGTGGCCTGTTTGCACGTGTTTTGTGCCCCCGGCGGTCACATGCCCACCACATAACTCCGCAACTCTTATGTATTCTTGGATTAACGAAAGTCGAAACGCATGTTTTCCCTAGTGCAGCCAAATGAACCCGATTACTGCCAGTGTCCAAAGCCTTGGTATGTAAGATACGCACACGCATATGCAGTACAACAGCTGGACCTAAACCGCATAGTTTAGTGCAATAGCAAAAGCCAATTTTTGGTTAACCTGTGTTGAAAGATATTACCATTGAATGCCTCCTCTAAACAGTACCACTTTGGGATCTTTGTGTCTTGTCGTACAATCAACTCAACTCTGAACACTTGTGAATTCGTTTCGACTTGTAAGGGGAAGAGCAGATGCCAGCAACTTATGAGTGTACAATGTTGGAAGGTGAGTTACTCACCTGAATCTTACAAATGGCTTAAAATTATTCAGTTTCATGGTGATCACCAATCACCTGTGACTAAAACTTCAGACCATAATCACATGAGCAATACTGTTCAGCATAATGAAGATGAAGCGACTGGAGAAAGTGGTATAAAATCTCTAGATCAAATTCATTCACAGACATTTTAGGATATTACTGCTGATTCCAGAAAATCTCATTAATCAAGGATACCACAGTTTGTTGTTTGTCCGGGTACAATGTCGTATGTGTTGCAACATAATGCTGCGTAATTACACAAAAAGATGTCGTTGCTAACCGTCATATTGCATTAGATTTTCTAATAATTCTGTAGCTGCATATTGTGCAAATAACTGTAGCGAAATAAGAACGGGAATTCATAATGTTACTCCTCATCCGAAAACACAAAAACTATGTTTCGGATTGTTTTGGCAGAAGCCTGTTTCCGATAAACTGGATGCGTTGAAGCATGCCTTCATCACAGGTTGTAAATCCCGAGGTTACAGTTAGAAAGCGAAGACTTGGTGTTCACCGGGCTGAGCTTTAGTATTAGTGAGGATAAGATTCCACTCACCTTGTTCTCCATAAGAGGAACATGTCAGGTGGCGAGTTCTGATATTGCGCGATCGTGGTGAGCCTGGTACCATATGCATGTTTCTTGTCATTTGAGGAATGTGCGTGGCAGATTCAAACGTAGCCAAAGAATGTTTATATTTTGGCCGATATCCAAAGTCATTGGCAAGGAACTCAGCACTGGGGGAGGACTTGAAGTGGGGACGAGTTGGGCGAAACAGGGGTCCCATCGTTCCAGTGTTGTTTTCATTATGTTTCGACCAAAGCAGGTCCACCATACTTTTGTGTGCGCTTGATGAACTGTTTTGCATATTTGATTTGTTATAATGTAGATATTCGCGGGATAAGTGTATGGGCTGAGGAATATTCATCTCCGCCTGTTCATGGAACTACGAGGAAGGTTTTTCGAATATAACAACACGTAGAAGAATATGTACAACAATTACCATGCACTAATATTATGCGTGAACTTCCCGCTACGTAGCGGAAGCTTGTACACGAATGAGACAAAATAGAAAGAAAGGTAGTGATATATGTCACTGTATGATGGGATTAGAACTATCACTTGAATAAACCAACTGGCTAAAAGGCTGTACCCGTTTGTTCAATCCTAATGTGCGGCAGACGTTGACAAGATATGGTTGCTCAACTGCGAGGGTTCATAAGAAACACTACCGGGGTTCTGTACCAGCAACTGTGTCTGATTCAAAGTTCCTGTGATGTCATAAAATGCGGCAGAGTATAGTGGACTATTATCGGAATTTTTCGTCATCAGCAGGCCCTCAGAAGACGTCAGCTGAATAGAGGATGCAGGATCCAGGGAGAGGAGTAACGGAGTACAATTTGGTGAGATCGCATATTCCACTGTGTGGTCGTTATAAAAATTATGAGATATTGAACATAACTGTGATGCAGTATCGAGTTGAGGGGTTGTCTCATGGCCCGTATTTTCCGTTGCAAACTTGATAGAAACTAGCTGTTGAGAAAACAAGGTCGACGGAGTTACAACGCTCTCTAGAGTTGGCGATGTTGCATTCAGGTTTTCAATAGTTTCGGTGTGCCTTCTCCCATAAGTGAATGCCGCCAGACCAGTTGAGAGGATTTGTCTTGATTTACTGCTGTTTGTCGCGGTAATAACTGGCAGTTCGGCTGTGCTGACGTTAGGGTTAACAGTAACCTGTGTACCCAGAAAGCTGAGGTCGGATTGTTCCGCAAAACTTGGAATGACTTTTTGGCTACTCATCGGACTATTTAGCGAGTTTGAATGCTTTCTGGTGAGAGTATGTAGACCGATTCTCGGACTATTCCGACCAAGTGAATTATCTAAAAGCTGCGTGTATGACGCATGCATATACAACAGGTTGAACAACATGGTTACAACACATAAGGTAACGGAGTAAAGGAGGGAAGTAGAAATATTAGATGCATCTGTTTTGATTCTCAAACGAGATAGAAAGCCCCTGAATGAGGCTCATTACCGGTGATAAAAATTGACTGGATCCCAAAACTGTCACTCAAGTGAAACAATCTGACTAGTCACCAGTAACTAGATTGCCCGAATAAGTAAAGAGTCGGCAAAACTGGGGATAGCAGTTAAAATACAATGCAATACAATACAATACAATAGGATACACTAGGACCTTGGAGAGATGTGTTACTGAAAACAAACACAAGCTGTTACACAGATGAAGTTACGTTAAATCAATCTGATGACGCCAACTGAGAGCAGTGCTTCTATCCCGATTAGTTTAGAGAACCCGCAGAGAAACGTGTAAGAACTACATATAAATCAATAAAATGGTTCGAAAACGGAATGAATTTTCTGAAGGCTATTGTTAGCTAATCTTTAAACCATATTGCCACAGAATACCTCGTTAGGGTTATTTAGTGTGTCTTAAGGCTGTGCTCGATAGAACAGGTCGGTAAATATGGGTGGGAAAATTCTCCGTGATCATTCTGATTTCATTGTTTGTTGCCTTGAACCCCATCCACTCGAAAGTAAACTGATGGTTAGATAGTCTTCTGCGCTTCACTCTGCAAAGTTAGAGTATCTGGGGTTTAATGCTGTACAAAAACATTTCTGGGAAGACAAGGAGGTACGACCTCCAAACTAGAATGATGCAAGATGTTAATTAAACACCTGTCTTTGGCAAGGTGTTTTTTTTAGTTTTTTTACACACATCCTTGACAAATAAGGTTACATATTCTAATGGCCCATCAATGTGGAGAAAACAAAGTTTTCTCACTACTCTTGAGAGCGAGTAACCAAAAGCTAGTTCCTAATCCATACAGAAGGGTAGCTGAGTAAACTAAGGATGATCACCAAACGGTGTTTATTTGTCGGTCCCCGTGTTGATCACAGAATACAGTTGTGTTTGGACCATAATCGGTTTCTCGCAACAACTGGGAGAGTAGATCACTAATCTAACGAAGCATTCCTCTGTACGTTATCACGTACGTGATACTCCAGATCTAGATATCTGTGTAGTTTCCGTGTTTGATGTTGGGTCTCAGACTTGATGATTATTTTTTACTCTGGTAAATCTACCCATTAGAACACATACTTCCTGGTCAGAATTTTGACATGATGCCGTCAGGCAAATAAGTAACTTAATAACACAACGGCTTAATGGTCAGTAACATCAGCCAGTAAAATTGTTATATAAACCGGAGGGTTAGTGTTTTAGACACTGACTTGGCATTGTGATGGATCATGGCAGATTATTTTTGCCAAATTCAAGTTAGGTGCGGAAGTGCGCCTGGTTTAAAGAACCCTGATGGAAAATGGAAACCCAAAAAATCCGTGCTAGTGCTCATGAGACAATGAAGCGATTGTGCACAACTGCATGACCACTTGGATTGAGGGAAGTGGACATATTCTTGACTCAGCTATATAAGGGCTTCTGAAGTTATTACTCGTCGGCCGAACACTGTTATCAAAAGGGCATTTAGTGCCGCGCAGTAAAGAAGGCACGTCGACAGCGGTAGTTTGCCCAACACTTGAGAATAGGGTACCCTCCAGTACCTATCCAGATTGATGTATTCTTTGTATAACGGGTGTTCTGAAAACTACTTGGAATGTACGAGACGGTGCTTGTCACTAAGGATTGCAAAGCAAATATCATCCTGAAAGCCGCTTGACAAGTCTATTCACGTAAGGTTGCTTCCCACTTGCTTGGTACTAATCGTCAGAGTAATGTGGTCGGACCCTTTAACATGGTCTATCGAGTGTTACCAGATCGTTTCAAGGCCATTCGACAGCAGCCAAACCAAATATAATTCGGCTGCGACAACCTACTCCTTGTCAACGGAAGCGTCACGCAAGGACGCTGATCCACCATTATCCAGCAATTTCTCAGGTTGCGTCTTTCCTAATGGTGATCTCTACCTAGCTCTGCACTACGTAGAACAATTTCATTGGCTGACTTTATTCACCGGTTTTATTGCAGTTTACTCCTCCTTTGAGTAGTTATATTATTTATTTCTGTATTGGTCTGATCAGGCATATCAAATTCGTACATTTGACATTTTTTTTAAATATTTTAAATATTCCTCACTTATCTCAGCACGCGACTCATTTGCTTCATTCCGGCCGCATGTTTTGGGATAAGGATGTTAAGAGGTGCAGCCAGGTCATGTTATTGTTAGACGTTAGAATGTCTGTAGGAGCACTCCATTCAAACTTGAGAGTAGGAACCGTCTTCAAGAGTCAAAGGGGTCAACGATCTCTTTCAAAAACCACTCCAAGCATCCACCCGTCTTAAACATGATGGAAAGTAATAAAGATTAGAAACGAAATTATACAATACATTATTACTGAACTCTATGAATGAACTTGGGACCCATTACTGAAGGAACTGCCGCATGATTTCATTGGTGTAATTATGATCCTCAAGGTTTAAACTGTTGATGAACTAGAATGTTCTAATGGGTAACAGCGCCCAACATAATTTCATCACATAGGGTTCGTTGGAGGCTAAGAACAATAAAACCAATATTGACTTGGTCATAGTGCGTTTGTTGAAAACATCTTACGAGTTCTGTTGTGGAATCTGTTTACTAGTACGCTGCGATTCATCAAATCAATATGTATCCTCTATTCCTTTTAAGGTGGAAATTCTCCAAAGTTCAAACAAAAAACAGATTCACTGTAATTTTTTGGTAATCTGGAAACAAGGTATTAGGTATGTTACCGAGATACTTCGGAGGTGTTTCGAAACGTTCTCATTACTTTTAGAATCCAAGTTTTCGGTCATGGCATGTAATGTCCAAAATGTTCATGTTGGTTGTTTCCTTAGAACTACACCCTCTCCCAAGCTAAAGTAGCTGTTTTCGAAAAACAGCGAAGGCTTCGATTTATTGATTCGTTAAAAGTACAGCGGAAGATCCATCGAATGACGGCATGGAATTCTTAAGTCATTGTCTGATTTTCTTGTTAAAACTGCTCCACCTTGCCTACATTATTCTTTATGCAAAAGCGATTTGTCGCAAGCAGTGACTGTCTATCCGCATCTTCAGATCACAATCGGTCCATTTCTTCACCAAGTAACTTAAATCCCTAAAATGCAACTTATTATGAATGCATAAAGTCTTCGCGTATGCCGGGAAGTATTCCGTAAACGTTTCCACCCAAACATTGCCGATCGCAAATAACGGTTGGGGATGTTCAGCGTAATGGGTTATAGTTGAGCTAAATACTATTCGCGCCATGTTGCTTATACTTAGTAAAATTGTCACTTCACTTCATCGGACTTCCGAATCTTGACACCCTTTCTATGAGTATCCGTAGTTACATGGTTGCGCAGCATTACCGAAAATTCTGAAGGACGTACCTCGGAATATCGGGGGTGTTGGACCAACTGACGCGGAGTAAATTTTCCGAACTGGCTTCGAGCGTTCATATCGGTAGACTGATGAGGTAAGAACAAATCACTCTGAGGACCGAAGAGGCTTTGAGGGCTTTGTGGAATGTCAGAGTGTAACAATGGGCGTGAAGAACCAGCATCCATCTGATGGCGTCCAGTAGTTCCAAACTTACCATGCTCTGCCCCAGAAGAACTGTGGTATGAATGGTTCAGTGGAAAATTGTTTGTTAACTGATTGACTGATATGTGTCCGAAATCAGGGGTTTGTTCCTGTCCGCATAACAGTTGACTTCTTTGATCAGAGAACTGGTGTAAAGAACCAGTGTCCCGTTCAGATATGGTGGGCTGGGTCATGAAGTATTGTGGACCATGTTCATTCGACCTCGTAAAATTTTCGAAACAGTCAGCTTTTACATAGCCTTGTCAGGTAGAAATCGAGAAGTAATTGTTTATTGTGAATGTCATATTAATCACAAGCTTCAGTTTACTTTTTTATTTATATTATTCAGAGTAAACGGCTCCTATGGACGAATATAACTTCAAAACGTACAGCTTCACGCATAACATACAGTACAGATAATCCCCTGCGGCAGCGCCAAAAATAAGCGGGTCTGCCTATGTAGGCCATTCAGCTTAACAGACTGTTCAGTGCGAGACTCCGAGATGGCAGTTTCGATGAGTCTATAGGATGTTCCTAGGAGATGGCGTTCAGTTAGCTGGTGACGTCAAGTGAAATAATCAATTCAGACCATACTTCGTGGTACAGCCTGTACCACCTTTAAATAGAGGATATATTACCACAACGAAAACTTCGGGTGAAGTTTCATACACATTTGGTTTCGTGTCACTAGGGTGAGTTAAGAGTTTCAGGAGGCAACACGCAGACGATTTGGGATCGGTAAAATCCTCAGGATTCATAAAATGAAGTCTGTAACGAACAACAGAAACATTTGGTAGGTCTCTGCTACAACAGTGCAAATGTCAGCTGATATCAACCATATTTATGTCGTGAACGTGGGATCTGTTCGTACAATCAGCAAGCCGGTTGTACCGTGAGGCGAGTGAATTAGTGACCCTTCTCAAGATTTTATATCTCGCAGGTAATGAACTGACCGGTTTCTCGATTGCGGCCACTGGTAAAGCAGTACCGTCTATGCCAAGGAGAAGCTAGGACTGTCTTTCGAGTGACACGACCCTCACTCCCTTTTACAGGTTTCCTTTACTTGGGTAAAGGCATTAAATCTTTCAGGGTCTGATAGAGTTCAAACCCGGGGGTACAAATGTCGTCATCATCATTATCATCATCGACAGCATGGAATCTGTGTTCAACACTGATGCCTCACTGCCGTAGCACAAACGCTGAGATGTATCAGGGCTTAATTTGTAAATACACCTAAAATAAAAAACTTCGTAGACAAACATGTTCAATTTTCAGGCGAACAGAAGGTGAATATAAGAAGTTCAAGACAAAAGTCAGATAGCGTTATATTCAATCAAATCTTACTTGAGCCTCCAGGTTTGTGAGGACGTTGTGGACAGCATATACAACTTCCTGAATTGTCCGACATAAAAGATGTTGTGAAAGGATCATTCACAGACTTGAGTCCCATTTTTGCTCTGTATGTACCACCTCGATCACTGGTGTGTCCACCGTGGAACCCTCTGTTACACCCATTACCCATAGCCATATTTGGCGAGTGCTGTGAATGACGCACTTTGATCTGCCTGGCCATTTGTCTGCGTTGCCTTCGCCGCTTGACTAGGAATGTAACCACTACCAAGTTGATGATTAGTACGACGAATCCGAAGACGCATGCGGCAACAATTATCAACAGGGCGTTGTCATCGGATGGTCCAGCACTTGAAAGTGGGGGTACCAATGGCGATCCTGGCTCGCGGTCGACTGAATATTGAAATAATCGTGGTTTTATTCTAGTAAACTTGCAGGAAATCGAGTAAATATGCTAAAGCCGACTGAAGTGAATAAAGCGCGCTTGAGCGAAATATGCTGGATTCTGACGCATACTTTCTATAGGACAAAATCCACAATCGAACGGAAGATACAACTAGTGAAATATTATTTATCAGTAGAGGGTGAACCTCTTTATTCAGGTTTTGATGCTTTGAGTAGATTCCGTGGGATGTCCACATTGTAAAGATTATGACATATTTTGTCTTGTCATAATGGTTTTGTAGCATTTAATTCTATGCTAACACAAAATGTGGAATTCCACAAGGAACTCCACACCAGAGATACATATCAGAAGACAATCACTGGCTGGTAAAAGTACGTAAAGCCAACGATCGTCGAAGTTGAGCTGAGATGCCCATACGAATAATCCGAATATCTCAAGTTGACTAATGTTTGGCTGCCAAGAAATTTTTACATGTTTTGGATGTTTTTGATGCCTAATCTGCTTAAATGATTATCCTATTTAGTCAGTATGTGTTTTAAATTCATCCGATTGGGCGTGAGTGAATCGCGGTTCGAGGACGTTCCAAGCCTGGAGTGAATACTTCTAGTTACGTTTGAGTGAGTGTGGGTTTGATGACTTTCTTCTGAATCTGTATAGACAAGCCAGTTTGAAAGTATGCGTACAATTTATAAATGCGAGCTTATTTGGTTCGAACCCGTATAAAATGGTAGATAACATGAGTTGAAGGTCAAGTGTCTGCTAGTTACATCGGCTTGTCTAGGGTGAGCAAGGGCAGCACCGTAAAACCAAGTTTTTTTTTCACATCAGCAGTCTTCCTAATTGGGTGAGATAATAAGCAGGGTTTATGTTTGAAATGAGAGAAAACCTACATGCTTCGGTGCGCACGTGAATGAAGTCCGTGTGTGCACTCGCTCCGTGTTTGGCGTTCATTGAATTGACACTGACCTGGTATTCTGTCCCACTTTCAAGACCTGAGAGGGTTGAAATTATTTCGAAAATAGTCGATAAAATAGCGAAGCTATTTTATGAAATAAAGTTCGGAGATTGCTGAACAGTCTAGGACGAATATGTTTCTGAAAGAACGGAAGGATATCATTTCTTGCTTAGCTTGAACAAGTGAGTTCGCAAGACGACATAAGAATGGAATGGGTCAGACTACACTGCACTTCATTAACAGTTGACATAAAAGAGGTGACTGGGGGGAATTCCAGTTAGTTTTAGAAACTTTTTAATCGTAGCGCTACTAGCCAGTATTCATCAAGGTAACTCAAAACAGGGAGCGTACTGGTTTTTATACTTTAACTAAAAACCATGACCTTAAGGTAAGTCAAAGCGCCAGGTTTATAATTAAGACGTGTTTGCATTGTGCGCTAGGTAATTTTCGTTTTCTGTTCTAGTACGTACAGATGACATTACCCGTGTACCGCTTTTATCACCTTGATTTGCATCAGCACAAATGACGAATTTCAGGTAATGTTTAAAATGAAGTCTTGGCGTTTGTCGAGTCAAACAAGATTTGAGCTATTCAAACTAAAATGGTATTCGCAGTAAAAGTACGCACCAGTTATCAGGTATTCCACGGCGTGGTGATTATCGTTCGCTGCCACATCTGCGTATTTGAACATATTGTTCGAGCCTGTGGCTAGTCTCCAACGCACCTGAAAATAAGATATTTTGTTGAACATTACAATAATTACTCGGAATATTTTCCGCAATAAGCAAACTAATGTAGACAACTTGGACAACGGTTCAATGCACCTAGTGAGACTTCCTGCTTTTGCTTACCAGACTGAGTAAAACGACAGCTCAGTGGTTTACTTCTAAACTCTCTCTCTCTCACCACTCTATGATCGCATTTGATAATCGTCTAAATCAATGCAATATTTAAGAGGCAAGGAATTTTGTGTATCCCAGACTGCTTTATTGAAAAAGGCATAATCGGTTTATGGCCATTTATGGGTTTAGTATCAGTCATGTGTGAAGTCAACATCACGGTTTCACTTTACTGCAAATCAAAGCGTATGTAACACACAAGGCCCAATACAAATAAAAGTAGGGATGACATATCTTCAGGGTATATACTTACAACATTACACTTAAAATAAACGTATTCGATTTTTACGTTAAGCAAAGATGATGCAGGTGCTCACTGATACCACATGAGTTTAACTGAGAAGGCACAACTAGGCGTAAAATGCATTTCATGGGGCGGAGCAAAAGTTACTTAAGTATACCGGGTATCATTAAATCTTCGTTTGGGCAGCCTAATAGTGTGAACAAACAGGTGTATGATCAACTCTCGGTGGGAATGGGCATGTCTCTGTGCATTTCAGGTTGGTGAACAAATAGTGCATTTAAGTTTGTGTAGTACACAGTCTATACGATGTCTCACTTGCCTCGAACCTCAAAGTTGGAGGTTTCAAATAACTGCAGATTAGCTGTCGTTTCTGCAAAAGTAATTCTCCAGGCTTTCCGTCCTGACTATGTGCATCCAGAAGAAAATATCCGATTGATCTTCTTGTCCTAAATCCAGTCTAACAGTGAATACTTAGGTCGACTTCCGGTGAACTCAAAGCAATGCCTGAACTATTATGTCTTAGAGAGGTCGACTGCTGAGTGTAAACGGTGTGCAAACTGCTCTGTTCGCCACGTGTCTTCCATAGGCCTGTGGTATGAAAGTGACGTACATAGTCAATCAGTTAGCGTTTTGTCATATTACGCAGCTGTTTGTACTGTGCATGAATACATTAATTAATGTCCCTCACATTTTTCACTTCACTGTAGCTTTCCGAGCCCATTTTGGGGTTTCAAATTGAGCTCTGCTCAAAGGACATAACCTTTGTACCAGAAGTCCGGATAAAGCAGGTAGTGGGAACAGATCCGACGGATAGAATCTCCTGACTCAAACATTGGGATGTTCATGCGCATATCAAATGAGTTCATATGGCCGTTGGTTTCAGTGTTATATCGATGGTCTTAAAGAGTTTTCGGTCGCGTAATTCTCACCTGAAAGCCAGCACTGGTTTCGATGTCTATGCTTTTCCTGGTGTAATAATTCCCAGTCGCCTTCACAGTTCACAACTGTAACAGTGATATCAGGAGAGGATGAGGACGAATGAAGCTGAAGCAGCAGTGACAGCAATACTTAAACTAACCCATGCAAACTGACCGAGATATAGTGTACTATTCTGAAGGACAAACTCCTTTGTATTTGGCTTTAGCAGACGTCGATGATGAGACCTTTCTTGTACCTCAGCGTCTGCGGCATGATTCCACTAGGCATTAGTCTTAGCGTTAAATCCCAAATGTGCAATTTTCATCGCTTATGTCTAGGCTGAAACGACAATGAAGGTTCCATATCTCTGAGGTATTTTGGTTGCATGGTCACCATGCATCTGGGAAGTTTAACATCCGAGTGATGTATTTTCAACGATAATTTGTTGACCATGAGAGTTCGGAATATCAGTGGAACCCTGTTCACATTTGATCTATGGCTGTTAGCTTTTTCTCCCCATTCCGAACTCAACTGCTGTGCTAATTTAGCATGCAAAACACAAGAAAATCGAACTCAGTTTTCGTCGTTTTTTTTACAAATTCTTTGTAAAGTCTAACCGCACATCTTCGTAGTGAACCCACAACAGCCGAATTCCAAATTAACGGCGAATCGATGTATAGGGTTAGAGGCGAAGAATCTATCGACTGGAAATTGAATTTTAGCAGCTGTCTCCTTATGTGGTGCCAAGTAGTTATGGTTGAATGGGGACTTGAGGCAGATGAATTTTCTCCAAATTCTTTTGTTATGTTTCCTCTAGATGGCGGCGAAAACCAAATGAGCAGCATAAGTTTCCTCAGTGGTCTGGTCTCCATGTGGCATGGATATTTGATTGATTTCATCTTAAATAGTCTGTAAGTCCTTTTCGCGCACAACTCACACACATACAAACCACGGACTGCAGAATGAGGAAAATAAGTGGTGTCCAAGTCTGCCTGCCTATGACTGACAGTGCGATTCTAAACAATCTACATGAGGAAAACAAAGGCTGGAGCTCATACATCCAAACAGAATGATCTACACACAAACTTTCTGAGCGCACAAGTGACCAAGATAACAATATATATATA